ATTTTATTTATTTACTTATTTTAGAGAGTGTGTGTTTGTGCATGAGCAGGAGAGGGGTGGTAGAAGAGGGAGAGAATCTCAAGCAGACTCTGTGCTGAGGACAGAGCCCCCCACTCAGGGCTCAGTCTCACAACCCTGAGGTTATTTCCTGAGCTGAAACCAAGAGTCAGATGCTTAACCAACTAAGACACCCAGGCACCCCAACACACACTCCCTTTTAACAGCTGAACCATTTGAAAGTTCTAGACATCATGACACTTCTAAAAACTTCAGCATGCTTTTCCTTTATGAATATGATACTATTATCATACCTAAGAAAATTAAAAAGTACTTTCTTACTGGCATCTGTTATTTAGTCTTATTCAGATTTATCCAGCTGTTCTAAAATGTCTCTTGTAACTTTTTTCAAAGCAGGTTCCAAACATAGTTCATGTTTTGTCTTATTTGGTGTAGACCACTAGCTAACTGGGAACAGTCTTGCCGTCCAGGGGGTAATTGGCCATGTCTAACGCCATTTTAACTTTTTCCTTTATCCTTTGTATTTCCTATAAGTAAGAAGTTCAGATTTGAAGTTTAATGCATCTTTGTTTTTTATACTTCATATTGCAGTGCATCAAGAGGTTAAGTCTGGCTATTTGGTTCAAATAATGAGTGTCAGATATCTACAGTGTAATTTTTCCTCTGTGATTCTTTGACAGCTTGCATGTCCTGTTACCCAGGATGTTTTAGTATATCTATTGATGATCCTTACCCTAATCAATTATGGGGTTGTAAAGAATGATTCTTTTAAAGATTCATTCTTTATTACTGGCATTCTTCAGTAAGAAAGAGCCTTTCTTCTCTCATCTCCCCCTTTTAGTAGTAGTAAAGATTCATGAATTTTTACTTATTCAATATATTGAAGTCAGTTCTAGTTATTATTTTTTATGCTCCAAAATTTATGCAGGTGTTGTCTCCTTCAGACTGTCTCCTTTGTGCCTTTGAGGTGATCTCATTAATCATTCGAGCACTTTCTTGTTTTCTCAGCTCAACTGCATGTCTCAGCTTGTTTTTAATTTTTCCAGCCCTAGTCATAGAACTAGCCATTTCTCCAAATGCCCTAGGACCTTTTAGTTGGGTGTGGTATTTAGCACTAAAGTCTGGGAGTGAGGTATGCTTATTACTACTGGGTTGTCATTATTTCTAAGCCCTTTTAGTCAACAGAGCTATAAAATACTTTTTAAATTATGAGTTCATATTGATATGTACAATTCAAAATTAACCTAAGTTTTTTTCTTTATATTTTATATATTTTTATTTTTTATTAAAAATTTCAGTTTCAGTCTGGGTGGCTCAGTCAGTTAAGCATCTGCCTTCGGCTCAGGTAATGATCTCAGGATCCTGGGATGGAGCCCACATCAGGCTCCCTGCTCAGAGGGGAGCCTGCTTCAGCATGCTTTTCCTTTATGAAAAGCCTCTTGGAAAAAGATAAATTTGGGTCAATACTTTAAACTGTACACCATAATAAATTCTACACGAATGAATCAAAGGTCTAAATGTAAAAACTAAAACAATATATGCACTACAAAAAAATATAAATTTCTCTGTAATAAATAGCAAATGCTTTTCCAGAAGCAATGAGAAAAGACCCCCAACCCCTCTACCACTTGTAGCTCTCTCTTTCTCAAATAAATAAAATATTTTTTAAAAATTTCAGTTCCTGGGGCACCTGGGTGGCTCAGTTGGTTAAGCATCTGCCTTTGGCTCAGGTCATGATCCCAAGGTCCCAGGATCAAGCCCCATATCAGACTCTCTGCTCAATGGAGAGCTTGTTTCTCCCTCTCCCTCTGCCTGCCACTATGCCTATTTGTGTGTGCTCTCTCTCTCTCTCTCTCTTTGTCAAATAAATAAATTTAAAAAAATTCAGTTCCTATTGATAATAATGTAGTTCTTTATTTGCTTTATCCTACAGGAAATATCCAATGTTGCAGAATTATAGTAATTAGTATTCTACATGAATTCTTAGTACTTTAACCTGCTGGGTGAAGTTAAAGATGTCTTTTGTAGTTCGTTTTTTGTTCCTTAAAATTTACCCCACTGAAGATGTATAATCAGAGTATCATGTTCAAAATTGACTTGAAATAATTATTTTCTTTATATGGTTATGTTAACATTTGATATACAGTTACATTCATTTATTTCTGTGTTCAGTGTTAGAGTTTGCTTTTTTGGCTTGATTTTGTTTTGAATATGTAAAACACTTACAATTTTTCAAAAGTCAAATCTATATAAAAAGCTGTACTCAGAAGTCTTGCTCCCATCTCTATCCCTTCTATCCCATAGCCCTTGTAGATAACCATTTTCATTAATTTCTGGTTTATCCTTCTAGTGTGTGTGCTTTTGTTTTTGTTTTTTACAAAACCAAATATATAGAGAGAGGTAGTTTTTTCTCCTATTTCCTTAAACAAAATGTATCACTATGTATGTATTGTTCTGTTTCTTTTACTTAATTATTCTGGAAATTTCTCCAATTTGAGTTTCTGCAGTTCTCCTTTATTCTTTATAGTTGCATTATATTTCATCATATGGTTGTACTGTATATATCCACTAGATTGCTTCTAATACAAATAAACCTGCAGGAAATAACTTTTCATATTTACATGGAGTATATCTTTTTTTTTTTTTTAAGATTTTCTTTATTTATTTGTTAGAGAGCATGAGTGGGGGGTTGGGGCAGAGGGAGAGGGAAAAGTAGACTCCCAGCTGATCAGGGAGCCCAACTTGGGGCTCCATCCCAGGACCCTGGGATCTTGACCTGAGCCGAAGGTAGACGCTTAACCAACTGAGCCATCCAGGTGCCCCTACGTGGAGTATATCTTGAAAGTAGAGTCCTAAAACTGGGATTGCTGACTCAGTGGTTGGGTGAATAACTGATTATATTAGATGTCAAATTCCCCCTCCATTGGGAATCCTTTGGATAATAATCCCATGGGATCTTAGACTCCTACCTCAAATGTAGGGGAATATCTTATCTCTCCACAACTTACCAGTGTCAGATTTGTCAATTTTTGCCTAAGAGCAAAAGAGTGAATTCCAGCATAGTTTTCACTTGCTTTTCTCTTATGAGGGAGATTGGAAATTGTTTCATATGTCATTTACCTTTTTTGTTCTTTGACCTGGATGTTCATATCCATTGCCCATTTTCTGTTACAGAGTTTTTGCTTTTTGTCTTCTCCATTTTTAGTTTTTTATACCAGGGAGATTAGCCTCTTATGATATAAGTTACAGATATTTTCTCCAAGCTTGTCATTTGTATTTTGACTCTCCTGCCCCCACATGAAAATTAAGTCTTTTCTCATTGCTTCTGGAAAAGCATTTGCTATTTATTACAGAGAAATTTATATTTTTTGTAGTGCATATATTGTTTTAGTTTTTACATTTAGACCTTTGATTCATTCGTGTAGAATTTATTATGGTGTACAGTTTAAAGTATTGACCCAAATTTATCTTTTTCCAAGAGGCTATCCAGTTCCAACACTGTTACTTAAAATGCCCGTTTTTCTCCAAAAGTTTAAGTTGGAGCAGTTTAAGATAAAATCTCTATCATGTATTAAATATCCGTGTATATATGGATTTTTTCTGAACTTCATTATAGTCTAAGTGTTCATATGCCTTACACACTTTTAATTGTAGTGGTCTTATGTTTTAATATTCATAGGGCCAGCTCCCTTGTTGTGCTGCTTTTTCAGGATTCCCCTAGCTGTTCTTGCCCATTTGTTTTTACATATTAGAATCAACTCATCTGGGGCGCCTGGGTGGCTCAGATGGTTAAGCATCTGCCTTTGGCTCAGGTCATGATCCTTGGGTCCTGGGATCGAGTCCCACATCGGGCTCCCTGCTAGGCGGGGAGCCTGCTTCTCCCTCTGCCTCTGCCTCTCTCTCTCTCTCTCTGCCTCTCATGAATAAATAAATAAAACATGTAAAAAAAAAAATTAAAAAAAAAACAACTCATCTGGCTTCAGAAAGTTTATTTTTTTTAATTTTTTAAATTTAAAAAATTTTTATTTATTTATTTATTTGAGACACACAGAGAGAGAGAGCACAAGCAGGGGGAGCAGCAGATAGAGAGGGAGAAGCAGGTTCCCCGCTGAGCAGGGAGCCCGATGAGGGGCTCAATCCCAGGACCCTGGGATCATGACCTGAGCTGAAGGCAGACACTTAACTGACTGAACCACCCAGGCACACTCCCAGAAAGTTTTTTAAAAATTATTTTCAGTGGAAACATGTTAAATGTAGATATTCACTTAGAAGGAATTGACAGCTTGGACATGTTGATGTCCAAGTACAAGAGATGTCCTCATCTTGTTCAAGTCTAGTCTACTTTTGGGACTTCCAGGAGTTTAAAAAATATATCCTGATAATAGGTGTTGCATTCCAGGTATTGTATTTTTTCTGTCACTGTTATACATGGGACCTTTTCTTCCACTGTATCTTTTAGCTGGGTATTTTATATATATCTATAAGGCTTCCATTTTATATCCATTACCATATTGATTTTTTTTAATCATTCAATTTTAGCACTGAATTTCTTGTATTTTCCAGTCATACTATCATATCATCTGCAATTAGAGGTGGTTTACTTCTTCCCTTCTGGTTCTTACACTTCTGATTGTTTTGTTCTGTCTGATTTGCTGGCTAACACTTTCAAAACAAGGTTAAATAGTTGTGGGGATGGTGGGCATCCTTGGCTTGTGTGTGCTTCCCATCCCTTGAACAACCCATAAATTAATAGAAGTAAAGGTCCTTGCAATGCAAAGAATGTAATTCTAGATAAAACCATTCCCCCAAACCAGTAGAATGAACCATCTGAAAATATCATATACTACTGGGAAGGTACAGTGGGCTCCGGTTAAGTGACCATATTCTTAGTTCGAATTTTCTGTAATTTCAGCCTTCCAAATGAAGTTGGGGCTTTTTCGTATGCATTTGTTGGATTTAACTGTATGCTTTTGTAACTTTTTTTAAATATGGAATGCTTCACGAATTTGCATGCCATCCTTGCACAGGGGCCATGCTAATCTCTGTATTGTTCCAGTTTTAGTAGGTGTGCTGCCTAAGCGAGCACCTTGTGTAACATTTTTAATGAGACTCACCCGGCCTTGGACATATGATGTTGTAGGTTGGCTTTCCTCTTGCCTGTTTGTATGCTCAGGCCATTGGTAATTAGATTTATACTCTGAAAAACAGGCCCAGGAAATCATTGTTTATTTTCTTCCCCTCAATGAAGCTAACTCAGACAACATTAGAAATTATATGTATGTCTTTAAAATTGTATTTTAACTGCTTAATTTTTATAAACTGTAGGATGGGAGCATGGTCAAAGTTCCTGTTTCTATTTTTAATAAAATAGTAGCATAAAAACGGTGTATTTAACTTAGATAAATATACATATATATGATCTTTTTTTTTTTTTAAAGATTTTATTTATTTATTTATTTGATGGAGAGAGAGACAGCAAGAGAGGGAACACCCTGGGATCATGACCTGAGCCGAAAGCAGCTGCTTAACGACTGAGCCACTCAGGCGCCCCCATATATATGATCTTTAGTGCCTAATCTGTTATAGGTGCTGAGTACTTCTAAGTTGAAGCTGACAGACCAGAAAACTGCATTACCTCCTCCCTTATTATAGGATACCTCTTTAGTGAGCATGATATCTCCGAAGAAATGAATTAGATGGTAGATTAGATAGGTTGGGGATCTGGTGCTGCTCAATTAGCTTTTCCCAATCAGAGACATTCTATTGGTCCTAACAAAGCCTGTGAAAGGTGGATCAGTGCTACTAGAAAAACAAAACATGCTTTATTTTGAATGAAGCTTGTAATTGATTTGATATGTAAAAGAAAACACATTTCTCAGCCCCGGTAAGACATGGAGTGCTATAATGGAGAATGAGCTCTGGACTTTGAATCTAGTCATCTGGGTTATAGTCCTGGCTCTTTTTGATCTTGAGCAAGTCATTTATCCTCGTTAGGTCTTCCTTACCTTCCCATCAAATAGTAAGGTTGTCCGGTACCATCAAAGATCGCTTCCACATGTAAATTCTCAGATATTAGAGAAGTTACGGGTATGGTTTTGACTGTTGGCATGTTGATGCTCTTAGTTTAAGCATTTTAATCCCCATATCCCTATTTTTATTTTAGCAGTAAGTTACTTTAGGTAAAGGGAATATATGTAGTATGTATGTGTTTGTGTAGTGCATTCTAAATTTACATGAGAATAAAATACAAGTATAGTTTTAGGCCAGCACCATCTGTTATGGAAGAGTTCTGTGGGATCTATTCTTAACTCTTGGGAGTGACAAAAATTTCCCTTTCGTTTTCATGATTTTCAGACTTTAATCAGTCTAAATATGGGAACATTATCCCAATCCTATTCCTTGCTGCTTTCAAGTTTTCAGAATTCTGTGCAACAACGCTTTGTCCTTTGATGGTGAGCTCTTTAAATATTCAGTCTTTTCCCTTAGGCTGTTGTCTTATCGAAACGGAATGCTCTGGTTTTCAATCTGTTACAGCTATTATTACGTGAGTCATATCTTGATATTTACCTTACTTATACATTATGGCTTCTCCTTTATTCATTTGAAGAGTGCCAATATTAAATCAGGGAACCAAAGGGCAGGAAACCAAAAAGGGAACCAAAAGCAGGAAAACAGTTGCAAACATACTTCATTTTAGAGATCGGGTTTTTTTGTTTTGTTTGTTTGTTTTAAGATTTTATTTTATTTGACAGAGAGAGAGAGGGAGAGAGCACAAGCCAGGGGGAGAAGCAGAGGGAGAAGCAGACTCCCCGCTGAGCAGAGAGCCCGACGCAGGCTCGACCCAGGAACCCTGTGATCATGACCTTTAGTCAAAGGCAGACGCTTAACCAGCTGAGCCACCCAGGCGCCCCATGTATTTTATCAATAAAATGTCAAAGTAAATTTTTTGCAAATTCATTCAATTGTGGAGTAAAAATAAATATTTAAGATTATGTTGCTATTTGAATCTGAAAAGCAAACCGTTCTTGGGTTTTCTGCATGTTAGATCTACTTACTTGTCAGAAGGGGAAGAAGTGCTGACCATTTATAAGGAAGGATAAGATGAGTAGATGAATGTGATTAAGAGGCTTCTGAGATGGTGAGTCTTTGGCAAAGTTTTAGAAAATAACTGGATTGATGGGGGAAAGAAGGGTATTTTCCGAAATAATAAAATTAGGTTTCTTTCTTAATCTTTTGTTGCATGTTAAACCATGAATAGAAAAACTTAGTGTGGTTGGTTGCCTGCAATTTAAAGATTTAAAACAGAAGTTTGGGGAATAAGAACTGTTACCTGTCTTTAAATCCATTGTTAGAGCGAAATACTAAGTCCCAGATATATGAATGGTACTGAGCATCTCTCTTGGTATCAGCAGTAAATGATGTATGAAACAGATAAATCTGAAAGTTTCAGAGCATAAGATTTAATCTAGTTGAGTATACATAGTTTACATCTTTTTCTTCATAATTGAGAATGGTTGACTTGGTGCAAAAAAACATAGCTTCTTAGCTGCTATACTGATTTGTATGTCCAGGTATTTTCAGAAATTCAGGTTTATGATAGCTAAAATCAAAGCACAACATTTGGTGACCAATTCCTAGAAAATATACTCATAAACGCATAGGATGTGCATGACAATCATAAAACAGTTCTTTTTAAAATTAAGGAAGGTACTTTATGTTAAATTCTCAGAATGAGAATTCTCAGAATGAGCCACGAGGGCACCCCCTAAAATGAAGCCTTTAACCTCATATTTTGTAATGAAAATTTTGCACTGCTCAGCGGTTTTGCTAAAATAAAATTTTATGTTGTAAACACTTAAGTATTTTAGTAATGGACATTCAGTAGACATTCTCTATTACATGTTTGTGACATAGAGAAAAGTAGAGACTGAGACAGAAAAGGAAGCTTGCTTGATGTCACAAGCATTTAGTTTGTCTTATTTACTTTTACATAAAGTAATGACTTTGGAACTTTCCAGCATATAGATTTGAAATGGATTTGGAATGATTATCCTTAAGCATAATGTATCATTTGTCCTTTTTATGGGACTTTGTTCTTATGCCTTCTATAGGTGGGAGAGGTAAAACAAAGCTACCTCATATTCATAAGGAAGGGGCTTTTACTTTTTCCAAAGTATTTTCTACCCTTTTTTTTTTTTTTAAGATTTTATCCATTTATATGAGAAAGAAAGAGCACGAGCAGGGGGAAGGGCAAAGGGAGAGGGAGAAGCAGACTCCCCACTGAGCGCAGAGCCCTGACAAGGACAGCAACAACAACAACAACAACAATAATAATGCAGGGCTTGATCCCAGCGCCCCGAGATCACGACCTTAGCCAAAGTCAGACACTTAGGTAGCCCTGTTTTCTACCTTTTTTTTTTTTTTTAAGATTTTATTTATTTATTTGACAGAGAGAGACACAGCGAGAGAGGGAACACAAGCAGGGGGAGTGGGAGAGGGAGA